GGGGTCTGGGGGTGGCGGGGGAGGTTCCGGGTTCCGCCCCGGTAATGTCGACGCCGCGGATCTCGTGGGACCACCGTCAGTCCCTAACCCCAACCCTAGGGGGTGAAAAGGGCCAAATTCTGTGGAGCTGGGGTGAGGTCCTGGAGTTGGGGTCAGGGCTTGTCCCCACTAAAGAGACGCATGGATTATTGTTCGTGCCTTTGCCAGATTCGAATGGCTCCCTCGGAGACACCATTCTGCCATTTTGCACCACTCCACTGTAACGAATCGACTGAGAGTTCTCCATAATCTCATTGACAAATCGGCTACTCTTAAAAATGCCATTGTCAGTATGGTAAGAGTCAACCTCCACACCATGTCTCGAAAGAATCTTTCGAAGCTGTCCTTAGCATTGATGGTGTCTGAGGCGTTGAGGGTTACCTGACATTCAACATGAAGGACACCAGATGCAGCATCACAAAAGATTGTAGCTCCACAGTACTTGTCTTTGTCGGGCTCTCTTCCAGCCGTATGGAACAGCCTCCCTCGGAGGTGTGACTCCAATTGATCACAATACACTCAATCACCGGGCTTGAGTTGTCCTTCCTTGAGGACTCCAACTTTCGCTCGTTTCTTCCTTGTGATGGTGCTACCGTCAGGCCTTCTGGTTTGCTTCCCAAACTGACATGATGAACATAAGGGAGCAGTAGGTACCTTGGAATGGCTTAGACCAAGGGCAACGTTGTCTAGGAATCCTCCAAGAGCAAGCTTTCTGACATGTGAAAGGCAATATGTCCCAGCCTGGTGTGCCACTTGAGCCAGTGCTTCTTCATAGTTGGCATGTTTCGGTTCCCTGAGTGGAGAGCAGAAGTCATTGCTTCCAATGTTGGAACAGCCTTGCCTTTTGGAAAGAGAGTGCTAACGTGAGGAAATACTACTTGAATAGAGGGATCTTGTAGAGGTAGCTACCACCCAACAAGATCAGCTGCAACTATTCAAGACGAGTGCAAAGTAAATGCAAAGTTCGCTTCTTAGTAATTCATAATCTGTGTTGTGAGCTTTGATTGATGCGATCAGTAAAGCTAGTTCGTAGCGTGTAAGATCAATGCATCATGGTAGTTGATCTTGATTCATATGGAAGTCAACGTGGTATCTGCGGGAAACGGTTCGTTGGCAGGATGCTTTACTCCTGTCGAATACTCCAGTTTACCGTGTCCTTTGGTTTCGTTGAGAACGTGTTCTTGCCAGCGTTCTCTGTTCCATTGTGTTGACTCATAAAGCATGACTCAATCTACTCACGGATACTCTGAGTCGTGGGAGGAACTGTAACGCTTTCACTCCCCTCAGTGGCGACTGTCGACTCTGAGTGTTTCTTACCGCAATCCTTGGTATCTCCTGACCAAAACAGTAGTGCATTCAGCATAGGCAATACCGATGTATAGTCCCAGTGCTTGCTGAGGATATCTGCAGGGTTAGTAGATCCAGGGATATGATGAAATCTCAAGATACTTGCAGCAACAGCTTCCCTAGTACAGTGGTAGGAAAGCGCATTGTGTCTTTTGAGAATCTTTGAGTGTGGCATTGAGGCGGTGTTGACTACCGTCTCGTTGTCTCCGAACATCATGGTCGGCGTGTCGACCAGTACTCCTAGGTACCTGAATGTGCTTCGTAGGTCAATGATCTGCTCAGTGGCGGTACGGGCTGCAACATATTCGGATCCGAACGTTGCGGTCTCGACTGTTGACTGTAGCTTGCTGAACCAGTCAATGGGAGTCTTGTTCACTAGGTGTAGAACTCCGGTAACTGACCGTCCACTGATGAGATCATGGTAGAGGTTCGCATCCACATATGTGGTGAGAATGACCCGTTTGCCTCGAGGTACCGGTGCGTTGTGCGGTTGATTTTATTTGGCACCATGGTAGCATGAGTACTCCCATTCGTACTCTTTCTTAGGAATCGCTGAGTAATCCGGTTCCTCCTTTTGGATGCGTATGATGCCGTGTCGCATCTTGGAAAGGTACCCGCAGATTCTCTTGACTCGTTCTAAGTGACACATTCTTGGTGCTGCCCGAAATCTGGACATCGTCATGGTGGCCGTGGCGATATCGAACCTTCCAATTTGGATTGCCCATTGTAGACTACTGATGAGGGATTGATATATCTTTTGTGTGTCCATATCGAGTAGCTCTGTTGTGTCAGTCTCTGGATGATCTCCTTTGATGAGTGGAGATGAGGCTTGTTTGGGCATGTGTCCGAAGAACCGTTGGTAGTTGCTGAGTACCTTCTCAATATATTTGCGAGGTGTGTAACTCAGTACTCCGTTCTCATCACGGAAGAAATCACATCCTAGGTGGAAGCTGATGGCACCGGTTCCCTTTAGTTTGAACTTGTGCTCCCCTTCCAATGTCGCGATGATCTTGGATGCATCTTTGCTGACAATAAGGAGGTCGTCTACGTACACAGCGATGTATTCGTAGTAGCTCCCTTTGTCTCTCATCCAGATGTCTGATTCGGCTTTTGAAGGAAAGAATCCCATCGAACGAAGAACATCTGCAAATCGTTCATGCCATCGTAATCCAGAAGACTTGAGTCCGTATAGGGCACGGCTGATGATGAGGGTGCATCCTTCTCGATCTCCAAACTCGGGCCCTGCAACAACGTACACCTTCTCTTTCGTAAATGATTCCAAGTAGGCGTTTCCGATGTCTGTTGCCCATACTTCGCAATCATTGAGTTCTGCGAGGAATGTGAGGATACGAATCCCACGTAACGAAACCACACTGGAATAGACGGAGTCTACTGGTGTATCAGTGAGATGTCCTCCAGCGACAAGCCGTGCTTTGTGTCGCCCATCGTGTTTGACTGCGTACACCATGTGCACTCGGATCTTCTTCCAATCTGGTCCAGGGTTATGTCCCTTTCCTTTGTTGATGAAGGTCTCGTACTCATCAATCTGGTTGAGTTCGATCATCTCGGCATCTCTCCACTTGGTATCTCCATTGCGCGCATCTAGTTCCATGGCTTGGTCATGGTTGCGCGGAACTTGGAATCCGTACATGAACACGGGCTTGGTCCTGAAGGAGTGAAGTTTTGCTTGGTTAGCCGCTCGTACGAGTCGCTTTTGAGTCTTTGCGATCTTCTTGAGTCCTGGTAGTTTCATC